GCCGAGAGAGAGCCGAGAGAGGGAAAGGAAGAGAGAAATCATTAGTGGCTTGGATTCATTGTGCTCTCTTCATCGTGATCCTTTGGCTATAGTTCATTAATGAAATTTAATGCTATCCATCACGACCTTAGACTTTGGAGGCCTCTTCATCATGACAAGCATTAATAGTCTTGAGTGAGGAGCAAGTTTGGGGTTTGATAAATTGAAAGAGGCCATTCGGCCAAGAGAGAAAGAGAGGGAGTAGCCGTGAGGGGAGAGAGAGAGAGAGAGGAGAACCAATGAGGAAGAGATAATGTTAGCCTCTTCATCATTTTAGTCCATTAATAGTTTTTAATGGCATTAAATACAAGCCATCATGCCTTTTGACTATTGTGCACATTAATATTTGGCTTCTTCTCCAAGCCTATTTGGTTATAAGGAAGCAAGAAACCTCACGTGAAATCCCCCCCTTCTCCTCTCTCACGCCAACCTCACCATCATCTTCTTCTTCCTTTGTTTCTTGTTTTTCTCACTTTGGCCGAGAAGCTCACGCCCAAAACCAACCCCGAACCGGCCCGTGTTCCTACTCGTTCCCATCCAAGAGCCACGGTTTGGCCTTCGTAGGCCTAGGTTTGCTCGGCCAAGCAAGAAGGAAGTAAGGAGAAAGCCCGAAATCTCCCGAGCTCACCCGTCTCGACTCCCGTTCTCTAGTTTTGTTTGTCGTTGTGTAAGTGAATTCCCTAATATTGGGAAAGGAAGTTGCGATACGTTGTAACATGGGTTGGTTGGCCCATTTCTTGGTTTCATGGTTGTTCGTTGTTTCTCATCGAATGATGTTCGCGTGTGATACTCACGTTTGATGTTTGTTTTGTTGGTTTTGTAGCATGACTTTGCTATTTGAAATGCCATTGATGCCAGTACGGTAAGAATCGACTTGTGTGAACGACGATTGTCTCGTCCTCGCTTGATATTAGTGTTTTCACTTGCTGAGTCTCCCCGACTCATCCCCCGCTGTTTCCCCTTTTTCAGGTCCGTAGGATGGCATCTCCCCCAGCCCGCGTTGGCAATCCCGTGGAGCAGAGAGCCGAAGTGCTCACCGTGATAGATGTCAGAGAAGACCGCGCCTATTGCTGAATCACGACGCTTGTGATGTTCGATGAGGGCTTAACGGACTTGGTGCCTCAGGGCGGGCCAGCTCCGGGATAAAGCCATGGGTGGGATGTGAGATGGCCAGGCGGACGGGACCGGGGTGGAGGTGAAGAAGCGAGGGGCGAGAAGCCGTAGTGGGTATAGGATAACCCAAGTCAAGATTTGCTATTCATAGTCCGCTATGAAAATATGTGTTGTTTGCTATGGCCCGAAGGGCCTGTATTTAATATGTTTGCATGCACTGTAAATATAAGGTTTGCTCATGATGCTTCTTGTCTTATTCCGCTGTGTATATTGATTGTGATTGTCCCGAGAAATGCTTCCGCTCGTGTGTAACGAAAGATAATAATGAATGGGACGTCACGTTAATGACCCCGAGGTGGGGGTGTTACACTACTTGTAGGTTGTCCTACCCACTGCATTGGTCTTTGCGCTCCCGCTACCTGGCGTGGACAGTCTCTCACGTGGTGGCCGTGCTGGCCACATCCAAAACAAGCTCCCGTCCTCATAGGGCATGGGGCTGATCCATGGTGTCTTCCACAGGATCGACATGGGCCATTATTGTTGTACACCGGTTTTCTCACGCCATTCTTCTTGTTAGGAGGGATGGGAAACCTACCCCCAGTCATCGGTTTCTTCCCAAACCGCTGATTATCCTTGTTTGGCACAAACCGCGATCCAGACGCGACTGCCTTCTCAGCCAAGTTCCTCTCAATCAACTGTGCCCTCTCATAAAGTTCGTCATAATCCTTCAGATTCAGAGGTACCAACTGATCTTTGATTTCAGGCTTCAGTCCATCCCTAAACCTCCTTGCTTTATCAACCGGGTCTTCAATCAACCTCGGCGCATACTTGGACAATTCAGCAAACTTTGCCTCATACTGGTCTATCGACAATTGGTTCTGTCGAAGACGCTGAAATTCATTCATCTTCTGTTCTCTGGCACAATCCGAAAAGTACTTGTTGTTAAAAGCTTCCACGAAGGCACCCCACACTTGGGCCATACCCTTGGGAAATACCCTCCTTTGGGTAGCTTCCCACCAAGTACTAGCATTACCTTGCAACTGATAAACTGCCAACGTCACTTTATCTTCATCTGAGCACCTCAGCAAAGTAAACACCTTCTCCAACTCTCTGATCTAGAGGGTTGCAGCCTTAGGATCACCCGCACCAGTGAACTTGGGCGGTTTGAGCTTTAGAAATTGCTCCACCAACTTATGCATGGGCTGATTCCCATTTCCGTTTCCAGCCAACGGAACATCTACAGGTGCAGGTGCAGGTACAGCGGCAGCAGCGGCTTGGTTCTGAGCTTGCTGCCCTACCAAAGTCTCTAAAGCCTGCATAATCCGATCCAATCTAGGATCCTCTGGTGCTATCCCTCTAGCACCGGTCTGATTTGGCACAGTCCTTCTCCTAGGGGCCCTCGGGTCAGGATTGCTCATTTCGTTAGATCTTTACAGAAACCTGTTCTCCAATTCCAGCAAGGAATTAGAAATCGTGAACAACCTGCTTAAAAATAAGGAACCTAACAATCAAGCACAGGCACAGAGTGTTTTCCTAACTTGCTATCCCAAAACCCATCGCACCTTATCACTCCAGGTCTCGACCAAACTTGGACTCGAGCTGACCTTGCTCTGATACCAATTAAACTAGGATGTCACGCCCCGAACCTCGCGAGCGCGCAACATCCTGCAATGGTCATTATGATGCGACGTCCCAGGATGCGTCGCCGACCAAACATTTTATCTTTTGATTACGCATGCGGAAGCTAAACAAGATTCACCCAGACAATAACAATAAACAAGGATAGATAGGAAAATATAAACAAAAAAGTGTTCCAGAAATAGATTTGGAACAGAAACAAGAAGCAAAAAAAATCTGCTTCTTGTTTCTGGAACAAGAAAAAAGAAACGATTTTTTTTCTAAAATTCTCCAAAAATAAGAAACAATCCATCGGCCACAACTCGCTGTCCTTCGTTGCCGCCTACCACACGCCTTCCGCAGCCGCCGCCCGCCGACCAACGCTCGCCGGTCGCCTCCCGCCCGCTGGCCGCCTCTTGTTGTCGACCACTGTTCTCCGCCGCTCGACGCTTGTCGCCACCCGCCACCGGTCGCCGTCCTCCACCACTGGCCGCCGTGCTCCATCGCCCGATGCCGACCGCCACTCGGCGCTAGCCGCCTCCCCTCGCCAACCGCCCGACGCCGGCGATCACCCACCACCGGTCGCCGCTCTCCGCCGCCGCCGGCCACCCATCATCGGCCGCCATCCTCCGCCGCCGGCCATTGTTCTCCACCGCCCGACGCCGGGCACCACCTGGTGCTGGCTGCCCTCGGCCGCCGGCCACCTCCCGCCTCTGGCCACCCGACGCCGGCGGTCACCCACCATCGGCCGCCATCCTTCGCCACCGGCCGTCGTGCTCCATCGACCGACGATGGCCGCCCTCCGCCGCCAACCACCTCCCGCCGCCGCCCTCCTCTGCCGTCACCACCGCTCGACGCCACCGTGCTCCGCCGCTGACCGCCGTACTCCACTGCCTCCCACCGCCGGCCGCCATCCTCTGCCGCCGCCGACCACCGTCCTCCGCCCCCCACTGCCACCCGCCGTCCTCCGCCGGTAGCCCAGAAGGGAGAAACTTGTCCATGGAATAGAAATGGATCATTCGCACCCTAAACGCGTTTCTATTCTTTTTTTATTCCAGGAATAGAAATTTTGTGCAGTTACTAAACGCTATTTTTTGCTCAGAAACTGTTCCAAGAAATAGAAATAGAAAAACTATTTTTGATCAAAAATTGTTTCTGGGAACAGAAACGTTGCTATGCAGACCCTAGGAGTCCAGAGAAATCGGGAGTTCTAATCAAGTGCTCACATTTCGAAAGGTCAAGAACTTTTAATTTCTCTGCTCTCTGTAACACCAATAAGATAATTGTTAGTAAATTTGTTACATTAACGGAATGTACACACTGATATGAAGACTTTTCTAGAGTTGAGGGTACCTTTATGTGCCTCCATCCATTCCAATCATGAGTAATTTTACTTCTTGAAAAATCAAGAATGACTAAATTACTCAACGAAAAATAGCTTATCTTGAGTATCCGCTGAGAAAAATTATGCCAAGAGAGCCATCTTAAGTTGGGAAAGGAGTTGGTTCTCGTTCAGTGAAAATATGTAGGCAACATAAGCAAAGACTTGTTATGCCAAAGAAGTGTAGCTTGGGAGAAAAAACGGTCAACTATATCATGAGCGAGGGGTTGGCTATCCACCTGAAGGAACCTTAGATTTGGAAGCGCTGCAAATCCTTCAAGAGTGAAACGATACTCTGACCATTTCTCAAACTTCAAACAGAGGGCTTCGAGCTTTGCATTTTTCTAAATGAGCAAACAAGAAAAGTTTATGAAAAGAAGGATGTTGGTAGCTAATTAAGAGAACAATCTAGGTCTATCTTTGAATTTGAGGCAAAGTTCATATCCATATAATTGGGCATATCTAAAGTTACTTAAGTTAGCTCTCATCATTCTTATAGACCAATTTGGAGAGGACCGGCATGGGTTTTGAAATTTGAAATTTAACAATTTAAGAAATGTTCTAAAATATGTGGAAATTTCAAAATTGTATATGTTGAATTAATTGTGATTGTTTCACTAGAGGGATAGTTCCCCTGACTACTAAAATGTGAATTCTCATGCACAAAGGAAATTGGATCCAGGATTTACCTTCTCTCGATATAGTATCTCCAGTGCCTTCTTGTGATTCCACAGCCTACTTTGCTTGTCTAATTCGCTCCTATTTTCTTGATAAACAATTTCTCTACCGAGATCTTTAAGTTGATCGTGCATCCAAAACTTATTATCTTCTCCAATTTTAATCAACGCCATCAACTGAAGAACTTCAAGACCTTCTGTTGGGCAAAAATTACAGTCTCTCCACATGTATGTGACTTTACTCCTATCACATCCATAAAAAAGACAAGCTATGTCGAGAAATATTTGTTGCTGATTGGGATCTAATACTTCACAACTTATCATCAACTTACTTCTGATTCTCTTGATGGGACCTTTTCTCCACTTCACCAAGTAATCATTCCACATTTCTTCTTTTTGTCCATATAATGATAAAGTCGATCCCATAACCTCAAGAAGCAACGGAAGACCTTGGGCTATCTTCACAATTTCTCTAGACTGTTCCATTTTGTCAATTGGAGGGTGATCTCTTCTGAAAACATATTTGCTGAATAGCTTAAGGGATTTTTGGGGATCCAAAACACCAACTAAATAAGTCAATTTTACTTCGAATGCACGCAAAACATTTGCATTTCCTGTTGTTATAAGTATCCTACTTCCCGGACCAAAGCAACCTCGCCTCCCTAAAAGTGCAGTCAATTGAATCTTTTCATCAACATCATCAAGAAGGATAAGAACTTTCTTACTTGAAAATCTCTCTTCTATCGTCCTTATTCCCTCGTCAATACAATTAATGTTACTTGGATGTGCCTGTTTTGAGAGGTTTGAGATTAGTTGAGTCTGCAACCACGCAATTCCTTTTGAATGTGAAGTTTCTCTAACATCAGCAAGGAAACAATAGTTAGCAAAGTCGCGAGAAAGTTTGTTGTAGACTATTTTGGCAAGAGTAGTTTTTCCAATACCACTCATTCCATGGATTCCCACGATCTTTGCATCATCGGTATCAGTGCCTATCATCCCCAGAACTTCTTTCACAGGGTCATCAACACCAACCAAGAAGTCGCTAACCACCAAATAAGCCTTCTTCAGCTCATTTAAAACGCTGGTAACAACTTGTTTAACTAGTTGTCCTTCGTGCCTAGCAAAAATTTGACGAGAAAGGCCAAGGCAAAGTAGAAAGTACGTTAGAAGAGACGAGCTGAATTCCATGTCATCAGGAATTGATATCAGTCTGTGGAAGCCACGAAATGCAACAAGAACTGCAACTGCAAATGGAACGCCACGGTGCATTCATTAGGGAGAACAAATTTACGACATGCTAGGCAGATGCTCAAACGTTGTGGAGCGTTCAAACAGTTAGGCGACCATCAACGTTTAGTAGGTGATCACTATATCTTGCTAATAAGAGGAAGAAAGGCTGATAATGTTTACGGTTACTTCTGATGTGTAAACAAGCTTCTCCTCCTCAAAATAGCTTCTCCTTTAGCACATAGTACATGTCTAAGTGTTATGAATAATAAACAAGCGATCCAATAATTTTCAGCATCCAACATAAGTTAATTTTGACAAATATTAATATGCCACCCTCCTTACATAAATTCGCAAAAAAATTATTTCATATTTTGTGTCATAAATATTTAATGTCAGATTAGATTGTTGACACACTACTCAAACAAAGGGAACCAGCGTAGCTACAATTTTTCCAGGTTGAAAAAAAAGGAAATTTTCAACAGAAAAGCCTTTGTATTTTGAATTTCATGGTCTCTTGTATTATGGCGTTCATCATGGGTTGAAGATAATTAGGTACCTGTTAGCCACGTTTTCTATGTTCCATCCCTTTAACCCTCCAACCTCATTGAGAGCAGCTCTCCACTTGCGGATGGTCTCCTCGTCCACTCGCTTCTTGTTTTCGTGCACAAGCAAGGCCTCACCATAACCTCCGGTTTGGTATCGAACCTCGGATGGTTCCACGTAGTAGAAAATGGGCATGATTACCTGTTCCTTCCTCTTCCGACACTCCACCATCTGGACCAACTCCTTCAGACACCATTTACTGGAATCATAACCTTTAGAGAAGATGGGTACGGAGATCTTCGACTGCTCAATCGCCCCGAGGAGATCCGGGCCAATCTCTTCGCCGATGCGGAGATCTTCATCATCTCTGTAGGTACAAACTCCTGCATCTGTGAGACGGGTATAGAGATGATCGGTGAAGCCCGTTCGCGTGTCTGGTCCTCTGAAGCTCAAGAACACTTCATAGTCACACCCTTCCATCTTGACCAGTCGCAGAGAAAATGAAGCACCAGAGTTGTACCCGTTCAGCAAAAGCAGATTGCCGAGCTCTATGAAGCAGAAACTTACGGACAAATAGAAATGTTACTGCAAATTAAAACGGGTATGACCGATTATGATTTATATCGATCTCAACATGAAGTTTCTCAGGACCGCTAATCTCAAGGAAGCTAGTTTCGGGGAACTTCACCTGGATCTGGAAAGGCAGAGCATGATACACATGTTCTCTACTTTTCTATTGATACTTTGCGTCCTTCTATCGATTTCTCTTTTGCAAGCACGTTCGACGGACGCCTGTTTTTTTCTCTTTTTATCCAACGGTCCATCTTGGATGTGGGATCGGTCTTGTCAAAACGGAGAGTGGAATTTGTTGAGGAAACTTCCTAATAGATTTTGAAGTTGACAACACTATCCATGTTAATCTTGTAAGTCTGACATGTACTCTGAAGTATTTTGATTCAGGTAGATATATTCTGGAAGTGGCAGCTTTAATATTTCGAGAGAACTAAACTTTCTGGCCGCTTAGACTTTACGAGGTTCAGAAGGATGACTTCAGACTTTACGGATTTCAGAACAAGAAGCTCAGACTCTATCATAAAAGTCACTTAGACTCTATTTTAAGTAGACAAAGAACTTCAGACTTTACTTTTGAAAGGTTCATACCTTACTAAAGACCCACACTGACTTAAGTTCTGAATGTAAAGCAAGAACTAGAAGTTATTCAGACTCAGAAATTATTTAGAACGAAACATAACGGCTAGTGATCTGGCGTGAATTTCAAAGAAGGAAAGTTTTGATTGACTCAATCTTAAAAGGCTATAATTGATTGACAATCAAATATTAAGGCAAGTATATTTCACAACAGATAAAGCTCTACTTATGGAAACTAAGATTCTGGTTGTATGGACGACCAGATTCAGCGGAATTTAGATTTTGTCAACCAACGGCTACTCAATCGATTTTATATAAATCTGTCCAAGGTGAAGATTGGAAGATGATCCTCTGAAGACTGTCTAATGGTTAGTTTGGAAGTGAAGGAATATAAAAGAAGATTAACGAGGAGCAGAAGGTACAGAACGAAGTCAAGAATCAACAAGTCCAAAGTCTGAGCATACTCCGATTCTATTACTTGTCTTTCCTGAGCCAAACACTGAGATCTTGAAGGACATTTTGTAAGAGTGATTGTGTGAGATAAATAGTCATATCATTCACAGAGTGATATCACTCAGAACTTGTAATCCCTTTTTGATCACATAGTGAAATCTAGCTGGAAGGCTGTCAGCATGGGAGAGTGGACGTAGGCTTGATCTAAGCCGAACCACTATAACTTCTTGTGTGCAATTTCTCTTTTCCTAAGCTCTTATTTTACATACTGCACACTAGCACATTGTCTATATAAACTGCTCAGAATATGAACATTGTTCAGACTTTACTGGTGATCAATTGTTTCCGCTTCAAATTAATCAAAATTATTCAAATCACCTATTCACCCCCCTCTAGGTGATCCTTGCTAGCTACATCAGAATTTTCCCATCAAAGATAATTAGATCAAGATAACTGACATCAATGACTGGTCGGAGAAGTTATGCCTCGTGCCAAAGTTTAGAACTTTAGGCCTTCACCCTTCTCTTAGTCGTCCACCTTTCATGAATATCGGCTACTCGAAGCTTTAATAAGAGATTGGAATGAGTGCATCACTGTAGAGCCCAACTAAAAAATGTACTTTAATCGGTCTGTAATTGACCTATGTTTAACCTAATTATAGAATGGATAAAAGATTAATGCCCTGTACACTGATGAAAGCTCGAACAACATAATAATTCCCTTGGTGAATTGAGGGAAAACGACATCACAAGTGTCATGACTTCTATACAGAACTTACTTAAGTGTCATAATTTGGGAGAAGAACACTAGAAGTGCAAAAAGTTGTGTACGGCGCTCACTTTAGTGCCAAAAGTTTTTTTTTGATCACTGAAGTGCCAAATTGGAGAAAAAATGATCACTTAATTGTCAAATCGGAGAAAAAACGATTACTTAAGTGCCAATTCCGGCCAAATTGATTACGTGGCATTTATAATTAAATTTTTTAATATGACTTGACATATTTTTAAAAAAAATTCAATCCACGTGGACATCTAAAACGTCATCGCACAATCTAACTAGCACTGAAGTGATCGTTTTTTAACAACAACTAGCGCTGAAGTGATCACTTTAAATAAAATTTAGCACTCAAATTATCACTATTTACACACTTGTAGACGACGTCGTTTATGAGATATATGCTGACTGGGCACGCCGGCGAGCCACGTAGGACGAAGAAATTAATAAAATATTACCACGTCAGATTTCCGGCAATCCAGATCGAATTTGGCACTTAAGTGATTGTTTTTTTTTTAAAGTGGCATTTATGTGATCCAAAACAAATTTTTGGCATTAAAGTGAACACTGTACATAACTTTTGGCACTTCTAGTGTCCTTCTCCCGCCATAATTTTCTTTTCAATTACTTAAGTGTGCTAACTTCATGAGTTTTCACTTGATGTCATAACTTTTTAACCAATCACTTGAATACCAAAATTTTTAAAAAACGTTCACTACAAATGCCAAAAATCTGACATGTTACCTGTGGTGAATGTTTTTTTTTTTTTTTAAGTTTTGAAATTCAAGTGATTGGTTGAAAGTTACGACATTCAAGTAAACTTTTTTTAAAAGCAATGCCACACAAATGATTAAAAAAAGTTATGACATTCAGATGAGTACCGTAATAAAGTTATGACATTTGTGATGTCATTAGTGAGTTGGTCAAGGGTCCTCAATCTACTACCTTTTCTTTATTTTTTATTTGAATTTTATTTTTATCAATAATGTGTTGTTCCATGGGGGGTTATGATTGTATTTTTGGCAGTGACTGTGGAGAGCCATAAAGTGCTGTACTTGATAGAATAAATATCGTTAGATCTCAAAATGAGAAACATATGCTTGAGGTAATAGGTATTATTTATATAATACCAAGATCACTTTAGCAGATGGAAATAGAGATTCGGACAATCGAAACCATACCTTGTTGCGGGTTCTGATTTTGGCGAGCTCACTGGTTTGTCTTCCTCGGAGAAAGGTCGCAACACCCACCAAATGAATTCGAGAGCTTAATCAATTGCGGAGCAGCACAGGCGTGCTCAAATCGAAGAAATGGGAATGGAAATTGGGAACGACGCAGTGGCCTGCGAGCCAGGCTCGGGTGATCCGGTTGTCATGGAGAGGAAGCGGCTCGCCGAGCCTGTTCAGCAAGAAAATGGTGATGAGGAACTTCAAGTCTTACGCCGGAGAGCACCAGGATGGCCCTTTTCACAAGTTTAGGGTGTTGAGCTATTTCACTGGGGAAATTTGTTACCTTTAGCTGGAATTTGTTGGTTTTGTAGCGAGAAAACAGGAATTTCGCCTCGCATTTGTTGGTAAATGTTCAAATTTTTGAGGAATTCTCCTGTTATTCTTTTGACCAAGAGCAGATGAGGTTTGCGGCTCGCAAATATGACCATTGAGTTCTTGGTAGTGGATTTTTAAGAGCTTTTCAGCTGGAGTCTGACCGAATGGGAGCAGGAAGAGCGATGTGATAGATGCTATGCACTTTGTGTTCCGGAAGATAGCAAAGCAGGTATATTATCTGTGATAGAGGATGGCAAAGGGGCTGCGATGTGGAGAAGATGAACAGAGGTGTACACAAAAAAAAAAAAAAAGAAGAAGAAGAGAGAACCCGATAAACTGACCTGACCTAACCGCCATTTCGGATTGGATTCTGTACCATTTGGGTCACAAAACATATATATTATTTATTGTGGAAGCGAAGCGATCAAATAATAAATTTGACAGAATAAAGAAAATAAATCGGACACTAGATTTACGTGGTTCGGTTGTAATGACCTACGTCCACGGGAGAGCGGCAATGAATTCCACTATAGATCAAGCGATACAATGGAGATTACAACCACACTCGAGTCACTTAAACACTCTTAATATTTCTCAAGCCCCAATTACACCTAATAACTCACGCAGTGTTTAGCCCCACAATTCCTTATGAAATAATCTCTCAATCTTGTGAATGAATTATATACAAATTTTACCATAAGATTTAATCAACAAACACTTGAATTGTTGGTGTAATTCCACGAAGAAAATCCCACGCCAAGTGCTCGACGAAACGGAGCTTCAAGACACTCACATCAACGGCGGCACTTCGAGACTTCTTCGCGCGGCAACAATAACGCACCCTCTGATCACGGTGTCACCTGCAAAACACATGCAAGCTCAACTCTCCGAAACAAGCCCTTAAACAAATATATATTGTATAGCACCGCCAAGGGGAGTCTGGCTCCAGTTCTTTTTTTTTTTTTTTTGGTCGAAAGTCTGACTCCAATTCGTAAACTAGGAAATTGCCATATCCAAGACAAAGTCAAAGTCTTGAGTGCAACGCCCATTAGGAAAGTCAATTTCCGTATTTATTTCTTTTTCCTTGATTTGCTTGGAATCCTTGCCCAACGTGGATTCCGTTAACACCGAAACAAAGATATGTATATATTTCCACGGTGGACGTCTACATATGTATAATTTATCTCGGATCGAATTCATTCAACGGGCTCAAATTCGAGACATATTTTAACATTATTTGTGTTCGGTTCGAGTATTGGTGGAAACTTGAACCGTTTTATCCATTGACACCCTCCTAGACAATTGATGCATCTTGTTCTAGCCAACAGTCGTGGTGATTCCTTTTCTTTTTCTTAAAACTTCACAAATAACTCAACGGTGGTAGCCTTCGGGAAAAGTCAAATGATGTTGCTTGCTAAGGGATAAACTAGGATATGGCAGTTGCTACGTCAGGACACCAATTTAAAGGGAATGCAACATATGAAGGTCAACGGCCTAATTGCCAGATATGAGAGTCAACACTATAGCAATTGGTTATAGCTTGTTGTTGAAGGCTGTTTCACCAAGTTGTAAACATCTCTGCATGTCCCAACGTTACTCCTAATAGCTAAGCT